CTGGTAGTCAAAACCCAGTTATGGGTCAAAACATGTAGTTTAAAAAATTCTCAAAGGCTATTGCTGGTTCCAGTAGTGTTGCATTCAGGACTATAGACACAGAAGACTGAGACAGGCCCAAAACATTGCCATGTTCATTACCCAACATGGGGAAATCAAAGCAACAAGAGGTTCTAAAATAGCAGATTTGTGCTACATAAATGTTTCCTTTGCAACCTATTGATTTTACGGTTGTTGTTGACCAGAGGCATTTAATGCTATTTGTGTTATTTAAGTAATGATTTACCATTTGATGGGACTTGCTGTTCTTTTGTAGTCTTACTGATTGAGTACACTGCACGGATTAATTAGGTATTCGTGAGCATGTATCACAGCTAGGCTTTTAGCAAAGCTCCTTATCTATGCCACTGATTCCATTTCTGGAGTCAATCTGTTGCTACTTTTAAAATTAAATGGAAGAGGCTGCTATACCCAACTGTTACTTTATTTTATAGAGTTTTCTGTAAAATGCCTGAAGCCCTGGAGCATGGTTTTTAAAAGGACATTAAAATGTGATGCTAATTTTGGTCTTGACCGTGTCCTGCAGAGTTAGAGCTGCCTGGGCTACTCCTTGTGATATCACAGGCAAAGAAAAAGTGGACACCTTTGGCACTGAATGAATATGTGTACGGGTTCTGTTCAGCCACCTCCAACAGGAGTTTCCTAGGATTGACAAATTCGCCAACTAGTTAGGAGGACTTTAAGTACATGTGCATATAACTTACTAACTCTGATAGTAATTTTCATTTTTGCTAATGTAATAATTGTCATTCTGTTCCCCGTATTAAAAACATGTTATATTGCTTTATAATTTTGCCAACTAGTTAGGAGGACTTTAAGTACATGTGCATATAACTTACTAACTCTGATAGTAATTTTCATTTTTACTAATGTAATAATTGTCATTCTGTTCCCCGTATTAAAAACATGTTATATTGCTTTATAATTTACACAGCACTTTCACATATATTATTTTAATAGCTAACATTTGTTGGACATTTGGTAATGTGCCAGGCACTGTACAAAGCACTCGAGATGCATTATCTCAAGAATCTTCAAACCAAACCTATGATATAATTACTGCTCATTTTATAGATTAGAAAATTTAAAAAACTTGCCCACGGCCACAAAATTAGTAAGGGTGAGCTATGATTCAAACTCAGGTTTGTCTGTTTTCAGAAGTCAAACTTTTATCCATTGGATTATATTTCGTCTGTTACTCTAAATACATTTTTTGGAGGCTTAGCAATGACTGTTGATTTCCTTAAGATTATCAGCAAATGAGTGGTAATACCAGGACTTGAACCCGAGCCATCAATGCCTAAGTCAGTGCTCTTCCATCACCTTATACTGCCTTGTAATTTAACAGCCCCCAATATCACCCATGTCGGCAGCAACCATGGGCAGAAAGGACACAGAAGGAAAAAAGAAGACAGAAAAATCTCCTGAGAGTCACAGGTATAGAGTACTGCTGGCATGTACTATCTCCATTTAAAGTCAAAAGGAAAACAGAAGAAAGAATGCACATTCAGATGTGGCAGGGGAAAAAAAAGGAAACAATATTACTTTACACTAATTTAAGGCAGCTGTACAACCCTTATGTTAGGAGGCAGAGAAAAAGTTCAAAAGACAGAACAGAGGTAGTACAGGGACTAATCAAGAACATGTGTTTAAATATTTAAAGAACATCTGAATCTTAATATGTGAAGGTAAATAATAAAAATAAATGAAAAAGTTAAAATATCTTTCTTCCATCAGAATCTAGGATAAGGAAAGCTAAGAAAAGAAATTTTAGTATTGGAAGCTCTAAAAAGCAATCCCTCAATGACAGAAAAAACTCCAAACTAGTCCACTGTGGTTATAAAAGTGTGCATTTACAAAAGACAGATTTTACAATCCAAATCATGCACAGGTCAAGAAAATGGATCAATAACCTAAATTGATTGCTTTTAAACAGTTATTTAAAATCCTTCTTTAAGAAGAATTATGAATATCAAATCGCAATGAAGTCTAGCATAAACACCAAAAATTATTAACTTCTAAAAAATACGTTTGAAAGCAAGTAATGATAAAACAATTTATTCCAATCTTCTCTTCCTCAACAAGCTATTCTTTTATTATTTATTTATTTAGTTTTTAAAAAGGATGACCGGTAAGGGGATCTTAACTCTTGGCTTGGTGTTGTCAGCATCACGCTCAGCCAGTGAGCGAACCGGCCATCCCTATATAGGGATCCGAACGCACGGCCTGACCGGTAAGGGGATCTTAACTCTTGGCTTGGTGTTGTCAGCATCACGCTCAGCCAGTGAGCGAACCGGCCATCGACCGGTAAGGGGATCTTAACTCTTGGCTTGGTGTTGTCAGCATCACGCTCAGCCAGTGAGCGAACCGGCCATCCCTATATAGGGATCCGAACGCACGGCCTTGGTGTTATCAGCACCGCACTCTCCCAAGTGAGCCACGGGCCGGCCCTAACAAGCTATTCTTTTAGATCTAACTGGTCATGTACTTGTTCTTGGATCTTTGCTTCTTTCTCTGGCAACATACGCAAGAATTTAAATAATCGCTAGGTTTTATGGAGCAGTAAATTCAATAAAATGTTTTAAAAATACTCCTAATTTACATTTCAACAAATATTTGTAAATGAAAATTGAAAGTGTGGCTTTTTTTTTCTCCCCACTCTGCTGTAGATCATCACAGTGCCAGTCTGAGAGGCAGTTTAAATGGAATACTTCAAAAGCAAAATTCATTATGATGAATGTGTCAAGTGAAATTAGAAATCCACTAATGCTAATTGGATATATTCTGAATGTATTAAACTTCTGAAGATATTTTTATAAACCCTTCACGATTTCCTATTAACACTCATGCATGGCTGCACTTTGGATGTACCCACAATTTCACACAATATAGGTTATTATGCTTCGTAGCTTTCTATCTCTCAGGGTGACTGCATGGTTTAAAGAAATGAGAAAAGCTACAGTATGAAAACACTACTTCTGAAAGGAAGGAAAAATATGTAAAAGCTTTAAGAGTAATGATAGAGTAAATATATTGTATTTTTTCAAATACAAGAATTATAGAGCCAGATGGTCACCATGAAAATCTAATATACAAAAATTGGAACTTGCCAGCCTATTGAAAATATACAAAATTTGATGAATGATTTCACAGAAAAGTTCAAGGAGAATTATCAGTCAATAGAGCACATTTTCATAGTGATCAATGAGCAAATCTAGGGTACTGGGGCAAAATCCCCCAGTTAGTAAGATAAATGTCTGAGGACAGTCCCATTAATTCACAGGCACTCTCTTCTTGCCTCTGTGAGAAGCAGAATACTGGGCGGGCTTCATAGAAGAAAGGTCCAATGAGCAACACTAATGTTCTTAGGAATCAAACTGACAGCAGAGCAGAAAGAAAAAACCCACTGGTTTTACATATGTGGATATAAACATAAGGTACTGACCGAAAAGGATACGAAGTTCTCTAATTCCTTGCCTGAATGCTACAGACATCTACTAAACAGATACAGTATAGTCTATAAAATCAGCAAGGCATCACACATTGTTTAGAACAACTCAGAAAGATAATGCCACATTATGAGGGTATGGTTCCTATTTTAAAGTCGTTGATGTATGGACCTCAGATCATAAATGAGGATACCGTGTTTAGTATAACTATGATATTACCAGAGACAATAAGCAACTTCATAACTTCATTCCAGGAACATCCTGGGGAGGGGTGGTGTCTGACCACAAAGCAGGGTGGGGTAGGGAATGTTGGTATGCACATGCACGATGGGCTGGCCATACCCAGCTGTGGCCCGCCCTTTCCTCATCTCTTTACCCTCCCCATTTAGGGGGTTATAAGGACATCGGCTTCATTACTGAGCTTTTCTCCTTATTTCACACAAATATCCTTAGCCTGTTTAGCCTCTGTCTGATGTATGTTTAGTCTTCACAGAGGAGATGCTCAAGGCCAAAGATAAAACATGCAATGCCTTCTGTTCCACCTCGCAGAAAATACTTGTTGGGTGAGGAGGGAGGTAACAAGCCAAACTCCAATTTTCTTAATGCAGTGAAGACTTTCTCTACGTACAAGATACAATATGTTTCTAATGCAAAACATCTATTTTTGCACATCTGCCCAATAGCAGCTCAATTAAAAACAGGCCCATCAGATTGACACAGTTTCCTTAACTGCTCAGTTCCTGTCACATTGCAGATAGCAGAAAAGCACTTAACAGCAGCCACAAGGCGATTTTCCAGTAAGACTTGTTAATCTTTACACAGTCATCTTCATGCAGCCATCAAAGTGAACTTAATGACAAATCAGTTAAAAAATAAATTACTTTTAGGAACTTGTAAGGACCAGATAAAAAGCAAACCATATGTGACATCTCTTCAGTCCTCCCCATGATGGCATATAATTGTCATCATCTGTGCTGTTTATTCTGTTTTCCCTGCCTACCTGCCCCCTAACCACCCCCAGATCCACTCTTTGGCCTTCTCTGTCCTGTTCTGGGCTCCAGGAGGCTGACCTCTGGACCACAGGATGGTATATGAATCAGCTGTGACCTTGCTCTCTGGCTTCCAGCTGGGCTCAGCTGAAGGGAGGCACCAGAAGAGATCGGAGGACAGGAGGAGAGGGATGGCAGGGAGTCCTCCCCCCATCCTCCTCACTGCTCTTGCAGCCAGGCAGCCCCTCTTCCTGGCTCCAGCTCCCTACAGTTCTGGTGTCATGTTCCCCACCTTACTCTCTCAGGCCCAGATGTGCTCACAGCTTCTGGCTGCTGCTAGTCTCTGGGTGCTTCACCAGCCCTTGGTGGTTTCCATAACCCTGCCCACACTTCTATAAACGATCCCTGAATTAAACTCGCTTCAGTCCAAACACCTGTTGCTGGCCAAGACCTTGGCTGACACACTGTCAGCCGCCAGAAGCTTCAAGCTGGGCTCACTTACGTGTACCGTGTGGACAAGATCGGCCACCAGGCACTGCTTCAGCTTCTCATCACTGCTGGTCCCGTGAAGCACCAGATCAGGCATGTATGTGGGACAGTAACCTGCCAGAAGTGAGCGGCCAAAGTTTCTTACATTCTGGTTGCTGATGCTCTGAGACCTACAACAACATTTGGCCCATTAAATTATATAGCTAAAAATATACTTCTTCCTTTTGTTACAACTGTAACAAAGACCCCAATGACACAGATAGATTAGATTCTGGGTGGTCTATTTCACCAATCCTCAAGTAAATTAATTGGTGTGGGGAAAAGGAAGGGGATTTGGAGAGAGAAGGGAGGTTTGTTTTTTTTTTTTTAATGGAAGGCCAGAAAAAAAACAAGTATTTCCATGACTGGTTACAAGTTTGTTCCTGTATCTTATATTGAACATCCACCAGGCAGTCTGTGTCAAAAGAGTGAAGAGAAAGTCTGGGGGGTAGGAGGGGGGGCTCTTTTCTGGCCTTAGGAATTTGACATATCTGCACAGGGTGGTGTCTCCAACAGTGCAGAAGAACAGAAGAAATCTCTAATTACTGCTTTCAGTCATCACAGACCAAATAATCAACCTGATGGAGTGTTAAGGAAGAGGTGTTGTTTCCCAATCACCTCATGCTGCTCTGATTGGCAGGAGAGAAGCCACGTGGTGAGTGTAATCCACCACCCCTGAAGCAAGGCATCTGCTGCCAGCCATATAACTTCCATACACAAGACAAAATTAAACTCCTGTTCCCTACCACCACCTCGACCACATCCCTTAGCGTCCCCAAAACATCACAATAGCTGCAAAGTCAACCAGTGGCCTCCTCCATGAGAGGGCTCAGTCGCGCTAAGCCAGGGATTATCCTTGGAAAAAGGGAAGGCTGGAAACCACTTGTATTGATTTGATAACACTTCTAATACTTTTAGGAAAAAAACAAAAAATGAAAAGCAGCCAAGAGTAGCTAACATGAGCATGGATGTCAGGCCGGAAAAACAGGGTCTGAACCCACTTCCCACTGCTTCCCAGCCTGCCAGCGTTACCTTGGCAGAGGCAGCTCCACTTCCAAGGATGCTTCAGTCCTGTCACAGCTGTGCTCTAGATCCAGCGTGGCTGAAGCACATGCTTCGTCGTCACTGTCTCCAAGAGCACTGTCCGAGCTTTCGTTTCTAGGAATATCTCCTTCAATCCTGAAGTCGGCCTTCCTCTTGGTATCCCCACAGGGGACATCTGCAGCAACCAAGAGGCCAGAGTCCTGCTGTACACACCTGTTTAGAACAGGCTCCAACAAAGGTGCTTCTGCATCCTTCAAATACAAAGCTCTCATCTTCTCCAGTGTTCTTGGTCCAGTTCCTGTTGCACTGTCACCAGGTGCAAATGAGTCAGCAGTTTGGTGGAGCTGCCTGGCAGCATCTGCCACGATGCCAGTCCTCATGCCTCTGTCCTCAGCAAAACTTCCATCAGCTTCACCTTCATCCCCCTCAGACGACTGATCCTGAGGACAGCAGACATTCTGTTGAAAGCCAGGTATGAAGGAGTACCTAGAAACCTGCTGGTCCTCAGCCATATCAGTGTCCACCCTGGACTCAGCCGAGAGACCACTGGCTAACTCTGGATATCGTCTACAGGCCTGTAGTCGCTCCTCCATTTTTTTTGTGCGGCTTTCCAAGTCAGACTCTGGAGATATGGAGCTTCCAATTTGGAAAGTGACCTTTTCTAAGGGAGGCTTCTCTTGGGAATGTCTGTCAGGGCAAGGCCAGGCTGCTGACCGGTCTGGTGATTTCTTAGGTATCTCCCCTTTCAACTCCTCACTGAAAGTCAGTTGCTCAACGGTCATTCCTGCCCCCAGGACTACACAGCTGGAAAATCGTGAAGAGCCATCTTGTGATTCTTCTTTTTTACTTTCTTCATCCCCACAAAATGCACCCTGAGGTTTCCAAGAACTGTCTGGTGCTTGCTCTTGGAATCCCATGCCACAAGTCTCAGAACTCTGCTCTGGCCTCTTGCTTCCTTCTCCATCAGGTCTGGGATCCAGGTACCTAAGATCAGTGCCCTGTGGGGCCTCAGTTAGCCCTGTGAGCCCGGGGTTCCTTCTATCAGCCGTCGTTAGTGGCAGGATGGGAGGAACAAGAGCAGGCTCGTTTCTCACTGTAACCACCACATACTCAGATTCCTCCACCTCTCCTTTCTCCAAGGCTGTTATGATCTTGCTCCCATTTAAAGCTTGGTCACTTTCACCGTGATTCCCACTCCAGGTCAGCTGGTTCTCTTGTAGCTCAGAACAACGAAGAAAGTAGGTCAGGACATAAAGTATGCGCTGGACCAAATCCTTCTGTTTCCCCACCACCACAGTGCGAGTCAGTCTCACTGGAGAGCCTATGGCTCCGTAAAGATCACCTAGAGAGCAAGATGGACACAAGGACAAAGTCCTCCAGGGTTAGCATGTCATGGATAAGTCAGCCTTTACAACAGCAAAACAGATAACTTATATTCCCAACCTAGAACCATTTCTTCAGACACCTGATATCTAATTTCTAGTAATGACCATGTTTTAGCCTTGCTTCTGTAATGAAGAGTCAGCCTAGAAAGGCCTGGCACAGGCTTCAGCCCACCAGCCTCAGTGCATGGGAGTGGTTCTGCTGTGTATACAGCCCCTCATTGTGCTTGTCAGGTTTTCCTGTGCAGCTTGCTGGGCCAGCCACTGAGCTGGCCCAAGGAAGGCTAAAGGCAGACTTCTGAATATGTCAACCCATCAATACTACATCTTGAAAACTAGAATGATAAGAATTTGTTAGAAGAATCCCAGGACAATGGGTCTTAATGCAAATTCAAGGATTTCTGAACAGAAGTGCAGTAAATGACTTCAAAATACTTAATGAGGTAGTCTGCTTGGAATTCTCTCAATATACATACACATGCCAAGTAGAATCAGTATGAATAACAAGAAGAAAATCCCTTAGTCATGCATAATAAATCTGAAGGTTTTCTTTGTTTTACTTTACATGAAAATTCTACTGGAAAAAAATATGTCTCATTAGTTATATCCTGACAAGTTGACTAAAAACTGGCTAAAGACCACGGGCTCTACATTTAGCTTAAGGGAGGAAGAGGAAGGTCAAATGTAGCATTGAAATACCCAGCAGTACGAGCTTTTCATCAAGATTATTTAAGTACCTATTAGAACTATTGCACTGGATAATTTGATTACATTTGATAACAAGTAATACTCTTGATACTTTGATGATGATAATAGTATGGACAGCCACAATAAAGAGCCAACATTTACTGACTGGGCAGGCACTATGCTAATAGCCTAAACATTTACCTCATTAGACCTCTGTATAACTTGGAGTTAGAAACCATTAAAGAAATAACCAGAATGTTGGAAATCACAACCCAAAAAAGACACTAAATAGAAGACAGGTAATACATGGTACTAGTTATAAATAAGAACTTAGGAAGTTAGAACCCATCTGAGGAATGCATGTAGAGAAGAGGGAAGGCATTTACTTATAAGGGCATTCAGACAAAACTAATAAAAATCAATAGATTAGGACTGAGAAAAAAGTTATGAGAACCATCAGGGAATATTTCTCCCTAGGGAATCATTAGGAAGCACCTCCTTTGGAGAATATTCCCTAGTTTAGGGCTCCTAAGAATATTTTGGTTTTTTCTGCCCTTTGGTTCCACAACAGAATTAAAAATCACTGCAGTATTACTGCTGCATTTTTAATAGAAATCAACTTGATATTTCTTGTTAGATTCACCCTGCTTTTATCAGCATATTGCTATGCATTTTGATGAGTTGCAGAATAGAACCGTTACCCTCTGTTCTGATGATCTCTTGCTGAGTGACAAAACACCCTAAACTTTATGGCGTAAACCAACCATGGTTTCTGCAGAACAGGAACTTGGGTAAGACACGAAAAAGGATGCCTTGATGCACCACAATTTCTAGGGCCTCAGATGTGGGAAGACAGGAAGGCCGAGGGTGACTTGATTCTTTGGGCTGGACAAGGGGAGCTGGAGGAAGCTTTCGAGAAGGCTTCTTCACTCACATGGCTGGAGGTGAGGCCAGAAAGGCGAGGCTCAGTTGCAAATGGACAGGAACACCTACACACGGCCTCTCCTGTTCTGCAGTGATAGGAATTTGGGAACTATTATGGTGTCTGGCTTTCTCTGGAAAGTTTTTCTCAAAAGAACAAGGCTACCGTACAGGACCCTTTCTGCTCCTAAGAACATTTAAAGAGCAGGACAGAAATAATAATAAACAATACTCTCTGTGAAAAGACTAGATTATAGGCTAATAGAGATTTAACTCTGAGACTTTTGCAACTGGCAGAAATCATCCTAGAATTCAAGAGTAACTCAGAACTGTAGTCTCAGGTTAGGACTTTTCGAAAACTTTCTTGACTTAGAGCCTATTACTGTTACTTTCCTTTTGATTGCATCTGCCCATTGCTGCAGGATATCACAATCACTTCAGGAAGTCGTGACATTTTTGTTAAATCAGTCTCAATGTTAATAGAGAAGAAGCATTACATATCTAAAATCTGGTGTAATAAGCCACTCAGAATAACAATATTATTTTTTAGCAATGCATTTAACTTTTAGTACTGAATATTTTAATAACTAAGGGATAAATAGAAAAAACTAAAACAAGGATGGTTATTAAAAATATAATTTATAACAATTCGAGCTACATAAAGTAATGAGAGCAATGTGTATGGGAACAGAGTTATTACTTTAGAGCCAAACTTCATAAAATAATGCACCATTAAAATAATAGACCCATAACATTAAAGACTTATTGGATCTTAAATTTGAAGGCAATCTTTTGAGTCCTGGACTAACGAAGCTACTAATTTACAGTAGATTCCTTTGTTTTCTTGAGTATAATTTTTAAAAATAAAGAAGAGGATGCACAACAATGTGAATATATTTAATGCTACTGAACTATACACTTAGAAATGCTTAAGATATTTTACCTTTATATATTTATATAAATGTATTTTACATCAAAAAATGTAAACTTAAGAGAGAAAAAATGGAAGAAAAACAGAGGAAAAAAGAGAAGGGTAAAAAGAGTGCCTGCAGGTGAAACAGAGGCCAAAGACAGCGCATGGAAGCAGGAAGGGATGCTGGATGGGGTGGCAGGAGAGATCAGAAGCAAAGGAGAATAAAGAAGGCAAACGGGACAAACAGAGTAGAGACTAGAGGGAGGGAGACACAGAGTGAGCAGAGAGCAGAAGCTCAGGAAGAAAGAGGGGAAGAACAAAAGGAAGAGCAAAGAGAGGAGAGGAGAAAGAAGAGAGGTGGCGATGAGAGAGATGCAAAGTGACAGCAAACCAGAGGGAAGCAAACAGAGGGTGGAGAATGGGAGGTGAGGACAACGAAGAGCAAAACATACACTGGGAAACACACACACACACGCAGAGGGAGAAGGAGGGAGGAAAAGAAAAAAGTGTCAAGGGAAACAGTGAAAAGATAGAAACTGAAACTAGAGAGGGGAGAGAGAATGAGGTGCAGAAGCTGAGAGAATTTAGGTGCCTGGTAAAGAGGATGGAAAAAAGGGAGGAGCTTAGAGAGGTAGGAAAATATAGACACAGAGAAACAAAAACGGAAACAGAGAGAAAATAAGAGAAAATAAAAAAGGAGGCAAGAAGAGAAACTAAGTATCTTAAAGATCTTAAAGGGATGCCTATTCATTGATTACATTCTAATAAAGTATATGCTGTGGAGTTCCCCTTTAAACGGTGTTTCCCTACATCCTATACATTTTGGCTTATTGTATCTTTACCACTAGTTCAAAATATTTTCAAATTTCTCTTGTGAAATTTGTTTATGGGTTATAAAAATGGGGTTGTTTAATTTTCAAGCAGGTGAGAATCTTCTTTCCTTTTTTAAAAAATTGATTTATAGTCTAATTCCACTGCATTCTGAAAAATATAATTTAAACTTTTGGGAAAAAATTAAAAAGAAATTTCAGACTTTTTTACCTATATTAATTTAAATCAGTGACCCCAAAGTTCTTTTGAAGAGAAAAGCTGCTTTTCATTTCCACACATCCTTGAGATCAGTAGGTCAAAAAGGGACTGACATGGAACTCCTTCAATCAGTGATATAAAACAGTGGTTTTCAGACCTTGTATACCCACTTTAAGAAATACATTTTATACTGCAAACTTACACACCCTCTGAAACAAATATTTTACAAAATAAGTAAGTCACTTTGATATATTCTAATCTATTACACCTTTTAAATGCTTTTTTTACCCATTAAATTGCTTCCACAGCCCACTAACGGGTAGGTGATCCACATTTTGGAAGACCCTCGCATAGAGTGCACGTGTTAGGCAGAGGCAAAGACAGCTCAGCTTTGGATCTGCAAATCTGGGAGTGTGAAAGGGCCCATTGCTTCCAGCTCCCCTCTTCCCTTCCCTGGGAATGCTGAGAAGTAATGCAGAAGTGAGCACGCAGTACCTGTCCTGGCCAGCTCTCAGGTAAGGTTTTGAAATAATTTAAGATAGAATCTCTTCTGTTATTTAGAACCTGGATTAAAATTACATCTGCATCGCTGTATATTCCCAGCAGTTTATATTTTCCTGTTTACTGTGATGTGCTAAATACTCAATGGAAAAAAAAAAAATTGGAAGCAAGTGCCTCCTCTGTCAAATTACTGAAGTCCCTCAATTTTTTGCAGTAATGGAAACTTGACCATTATCCACATTTGGCTTTACAAAGCCTCCTCTGTGCCAAGGCCTGATCCCCTCCTCACACTACTCCTGTCAACAGTCCATAAATTCTTTAATTCATTTTAAATGCACCTATCAACCCCTCACTGTGAGACTTGTATTCTCTTTCTTACACATCTCATGACCAAGGGCACAGGCACAAGACAACATCTTTATTGCTATAAAATGAGGACAATAGTGATAGGGTAGGAATGAGAATCCAATTACTTAATGTGTGTAAAAAGCACTTAAAACAGCACTTGGCTCATAGTGTCAGCTTTTGTTATTGTTATATACAATATGCTGTTTTCTAAGGTTAGAGTACTTTTCCCTAGTCCATACTTCTTTTTCTAGAAAATGACATTTTAACATTTCCTCAAGTAACCTTCCTTGAAAATCCCCTTCATCCCCTCACCCTATCTCTCTAGGTGCCACTACAATATAATATCTTCAGCAGCAGCATCCATAACAAAGGTGTTTTATATAACTAATTTAATCCCCACGGCAACCATGAAGTAAGTACTATCTATCATCCCCCCATTTTGCAGGTGAAGAAACAGGCATGGAGAGGCTAAGTGACTGCCTGTAGAGACTGGAACCCAGGCAGTGGGCTCTGGCGCCCGTGCTCTTTGCCTCTGCATTATTCTGTCTCTCTCTTGCATACTCCTATCAAAGGAGTAATCAGGACATTTTGAAATCTGCCTCCACTGGGCAGCTAGCTTCCTGAGGCTCCCCATCCCAGCATCCAGCACAGGGTCTGAAACACAGTGAGTGTGCGAGTTTTACTGTGTCACTTTCATGTTTGATGACTGAGAGTCCCTAGAGTTCACCTCTAATCCACATGAACCCAAATATGCAACTCCAGTCTCACAAGTCCCAATCTCTATAAACAACTATGCCAAAGCATTAGATTCTTCCACCATGCCTAAGTACAAAGTTTGAAATAGATGCCACCACTAATTGCAAGGAAGCAGTGTAGAGAAGATAAAATTGCTAATTTATGCTAAAATTAAGAAGGAGGTGAGATTATGGAGTATTATTTTCTTTTTTCTTTTATTTTTTTCTCCACCCAGTCTATCCTCTAGGACAGTGGTTCTCAACCAGGGGAAGGACATTTGACAATGTCTGGAGATATTTTTGATTGTTACGACTTTGGGCAGAGAGGGGTTCTACTGGCATCTAGTGAACAGAGGAAGCTGCTATATATCCTATAATGTATAAGACAGCTCTCCCCCCCACTGCCCCACCACAACTCAACCAACATAAAGTTATCTTGTTCAAAATATCAATAGTGCTGAGGTTAAGAAACCAGGGCTCTAGGGTGAATAGCCACTATGGAGTGGGAGAACACAGATTACCTACACTGCTTTAAAAGAGTAGAACACCCCATGAATATTCATAACCAATAAAATAAAACAAACTGGATTTATAAAAAATAAATGAGTAGAACAAAGCTGCTAGCAAGAGAAAGGAGAGGAAGGTGGTAGCCTTACAATTGGAATCCGAGGGCCAACCTCCTATTCCCTGCCTGCCCAATGACAACCCTTGAATTACTGGGTTTGATAGCCAGTATAAACTATAAATTCTTGCCTTCTTCCTATTCCATCCCACATATTATTCTCCGGATAGTCAAATTAGGTACTAACCCAGTTGTGCCCAGAGAGGATTATATGGATGTGTTTTGGCCAGCATGTTCACTGACTGAGAGGTACGTTTCTCTGAGAAGGCTTTAATGGGAGGGTGATCAACAGGCATGACAGTCGGAACCCAGGCCAGGTGGTAGGTTAACACTGCAGTCAGTAAGGCAGCAAAAAACCTTGGATAAATGGAAGAAAATACAACCATATTAGTCAATGGAGGAAGAGACATGTCCTATGTAGCACGTACAGTGGCTATGGAATTTGCATACAAGTCTCCAGAGAGCTGAAGCTTACTGGTTTTTGTTGATCTGTTCTATCAGAAGGGTAAACTCCTTGAGAAAGCGCTGGCAGAGCTGGGTTTTTTCTAAAGTGCTGGACATCATGGTAAGCCATACAGGTTCAGCTATCCTTGGAACAGAATATAAGTTCCAGATAGTCCCTCTATAGAAGAGAAAGAGAAGGGATACATAAAACTGTCACAAATATTATTTTGGATAATCCTGATATAAAAGAATAAAGAAGAAAGCAATAATTTGGATCTATGTAGTCTATAAGGGATTCAAACAGTATACATATAACATGGATTGGTAAGCTATGACCCACAGGCCAAATCTGAGTGCCACCTTTTTCATAAACAAAATTTTATTGGGACACAGCCATGTTCACTCATTTATATATTGTCTATGGCTGCTTTTGCAGGAAAAGGCAAAGTTGAATATCTGTGATAAATACCCTTTACAGAATAAGTGTGCCAACCCAATATAAAATATTCATTTAAAAAACAATTTATTTTCATTATGCCTTGTGTCAGAATTTACAACCATTTTGATATTAAAGAAATAAGGGGAGAAAGAAAGCATATGCTTTATTGAGAATATGACCAGAGACAACTCAACTCTCCCAGTTTCTGGTTAATGCTTTGGTTCTCTAAGCCAAAGCATCCTATTCATTTTAGGGGGAAAAACTACACAAATAGCTCTTGTTTACTATACCCTATACTAACTTTTTATACAGAGGCCTAGAGAGATTGGGTTATTTGCACAAGACATACAAATATTTAATGACAAGGTCAGGATGCAAATTCAGATCTCAATGCCTGGCATAGAGAGTTCCACTCCAAGCTACATGACTCACAATGTTTTTCCAAAGAGCATACTAACTTAGCTTAGAACAGCCACTGGGTAAAAGACCACTGTATCTCTAAATTTAAAACACACCCACTCTTCCCAAATCAAGATAGATGAGACTTGATTTTCTAACTGTGCATGAAAGAATTGGGACATAACTGAATTCCACCTTGGCAAAGAACAGAGCATTTGCTGAGTTGGGTAGCAATGACAAGTTATGGTCACATGGCACTGAGATTCATTTACTAAAACTAAAGTCTCCAAATGTTAACACTTTATTCTGTCCCCGTTTCTGGAGGGGTTGATTGTTGAAGTAAGAACAAGACCTGTTTATATACACAGTAAGGCTTTCGGTTCTGTACTTTCCGTTTCTTAATTCCAGAAAAATGGATACTTTCATTAAAGCAGTATCCAGACTCTCAAGCACAAGCCAGAGTCTAGTCTGACCACAGCTGAGCAACAGGCAAATCTCGTGCTGCTCAAGGTAGCACATGAAGTTATAGAAGGTTCACTAATCATCAGATTGCCATCCAAAACCACGACTTCACATTACTTCTCAAATATATGACTTAAGTCTTAAAGATCACCAGATAATGACTAATGTGTTACTTGAGTACTTTATACATAACCCAGAGTTCAAAAAAGCTGGTGATTTTGCTCCAAGTAGCATTATAAAGTTCATCAGCATATACCTTAAGCATCATAAAAATGTTCTAACATTACAAGAATTGTAAAACTTCTTTGTCCTTTAGCGGCAGGTAACAGTTTCACTCATTAGTTCATGACTACTTTGGAGTGGGATTCCATTCCCCACCGATAAATTGGCTCTAAGAAATGGTACAACCATCCCAGCTCAGCATGGTGGGAGAGAATCCCACCTGCCACCCATAGCAGATTACCATTCTATCCAGATGCTAGGAGCAAGGACTCTAGAAAACCAGTTGCCAGACTACAAAGATCATTAATTAGAAATTGACAGTGAAGGGGCCGGCCCGGTGGCGCACTGCTACAGTGCGCCGCTTGGGAGTGCGGTGGCGCTCCCGCTGAGGGTTCGGATCCCACATACAGACCTAATAACTTCGTATAGCATACATTATACGAAGTTATCGCAGATTACCATTCTATCCAGATGCTAGGAGCAAGGACTCTAGAAAACCAGTTGCCAGACTACAAAGATCATTAATTAGAAATTGACAGTGAAGGGGCCGGCCCGGTGGCGCACTGCTACAGTGCGCCGCTTGGGAGTGCGGTGGCGCTCCCGCTGAGGGTTCGGATCCCACATACAGACCGGTTCCTGCTCACTGGCTGAGCGAGGTGCGGGCGCAACACCGAGGGTTGCTATCCCGTTGCCGGTCCCGGTCCGGTACGGGCGCGACACTGAGGGTTGCGATCCGTTGCCGGACACGAAAAAAGAGACAAAAAGGAAAAAAAAAAAAAAAAAAGAAATTGACAGTGAAGACACACTAGGATGATTACATAATTTAATGTCCAGACCAGAACACTTCTGAAAGAACACTGGGGGGCTGAGCCAGTGGCGCACTCGGGAGAGTGCGGTGCTGGGAGCGCAGCAGCGCTCCTGCCACAGGTTCGGATCTTGTATAGGGATGACTGGTACGCTCACTGGCTGAGCGCGGTGCGGCCGGTCTCAAAAAAAAAAAAAGCAAAAAGAAAGAACACTGGGTATAAACTAGGATTGTCCTAGCAAACTGGAATGTCTACCTCCCTGACATGCATAGTCTGTCCATCTATGCTTTGGATAAGCATTTCTGAACTCAAGTTACCACATCTGTAAAATGGGTTAACAGTGCTTACCCTTAGGTCTTTTGTGAGGATGACAAAAGATAATGAACAGACTTAGACCCCTGAATATTAGTGTTCTCTATTTACCATGTTTAAAACAATCATATCTGTATATCAAAAATAAGTTTGAAAAGTTGCCATACCCCAGTGAATCACACTGAAGATAAACTGTAATAAACTGTGTCTGTCAGGCAGTAGTGAGGGTTACTTAGTGTTGGGTTACTTAAATATGTTGCTCCATTTGGTCTTAGTTTCCATCCTGAAGGGTGGAGCTACTAGAGTGACTAATAATTACCAGTCCCCCAATTCTTCCAAGTCATGGTCTGTCTCTATCCCGAGAGCCATGGATGCTGCTGCTACTACTGCTCATAAATATCCCCTGTTGAATTTGCCAAACTTCGCCACTTTACCTGAATTCTCCCAGAGCTTCCATGAGACGGCTGACATAAAACTGGACTCGGAGACTTGATTCTGCTATCTTCCTACAGGATATCATGGCCTTTATTGAAGAGAAAGCAAGCCAAATGAGTCTCTGAGAAGAAATTCCTTTATAACTTATCTATCGGATTTTATTAGTAAAAGATTATATTATAATCAATTAAAAACATTCAAGCTAATAATGCCTTCAGTCATGAAGAAGCAATAATTTCCTTTCCTAAAACAATCTAATATCTAGTAACTATCAACTGATGCCTAAGGATCTATCACTGCCGTGGATAATTTAAGTTCCTTAGGAAAGTGATCTGATACATAAACAAAGAGATTCTATCATCTTTAAAGCCCCGTAATCACTTCTCTGCTTGCTTTGGATTACTCTCTTATTACCTTTTCAATTGCACTCTTCAGCCTGTTCATGTGAGATTCAAACAGGGGGAAATGAGAAAAAAAGAAGTCCTGGAAATTCCGTTGTGCTTCTTCTTTCTCACACAAGGAAAAGATGATGCTTATGGCAATTTTCTTCCTTCTAACTATGGCGGGATTAGAACTACAGGTTTCTTCAGCCAAGCTGAATGTCTCATCAGTTGACCTGGAGGAAAAATAAGTTTGAAAAGTTGCCATATCTCAGTGAATCACACTGAAGATAAATGGTAATGCCAGGGTATTACACTTAGAAAGCTAATTCAGGACACCCGGAGTCTTAACTAAGAGTTTACCTATCTCTAATTCATTCTCTGCTATGATTTCCTGTCATGCAAAATGAGAACATGAGCTTGCCGCACAGTTTTATCCTAATATGAAAAGAAATTCAAATGAAAACTAAAATTAAATGTCCCCTTGTTACACTATTGTCCTTTTCCCCTGAATTATTTTACATCAGATTACTGGTATTTAGGAAGGGGTGTGCAATATCTGTTTACTCAAAACATAGGCCCTTCATTTTGGTTGACAGATACCAATAGATGAAATGTCATAAGAGGAATGATCCTACGTGGTATTGTGTTTAATAAAGACACGATATTCAAATATTTACTGGTACTTCCAGGCTTACTTTCCCAAGGCTATTTTAAATTATTTTTATTTATATTATTTATTTATTTGTTGGTGGCTGGCCAGTATAAGGATTCGAACCCTTGACCTTACCAAGGCTATTAAAACCACTAGATGAAGTTACTCCTCTAAATGCTCAGATTAAGCTATATGACTGATTAAGCTCTCTGGGAACTCCCCCAAGTAGAGAGACTCACCTTGCTTCTATAACATTCAAATTCTCAAAAAACTTATGATAATTTTGAGAGACTGCTTCTGTGATAAGAGAGCAATGAAGCCAATAAATTCTGAATAAATATTCAATCAGTTTTAAGGGGTAAGCTTCACAAATACGGCCTAACTATGTCTCTAATGTAACTATTGTGTAAAGCCAGCATAGCTACCATTTAGGTACTAATAGCAAGAGTGAAAATAAAAGAATTAATTTGTTTTTCTACAAAGACAACAAAGGAAAGAACATAACACATTGCAAATGAAAGCACATAACTTGGCACACAGTATGTATGCAATACACTTTCTCTTTCTCATTGATTCCACCATTTAGCCTCCTAACTCTGCCAAATTCAAGAGGGTGCTACTTCCTCCATTTTCTTTACTACAAATTACAACATAACAATTACTTACGCTGGGCAGAATTCAAGGCAGTTAGCCTCCCACCCTTGGTCTTAAACTTCTTATTCAGTGCTCTACTCACAGTCTATAATGTTCCTGTGATTTCAAATATATCCATATTTTATTAAACATACAAACATCAGAAGTTTTAAGGTCTGTAAAGCTATTTTTAAAGAAAAAGAGATAGAAATCTTGTTCTCACCTCAGAGGTGTAAGTTACTGGTTTCCCTAAACTTTAAGCAAGATTCCCAAGATGTAGGTAGGGGTTGGTAAATCAGTAAAAGCCTCTCACAAACATGCCACTGGCAGCACATGATCTCCAGGTGCTGATGTAACTGTTACGCATTATAATAAACCATCAACTGTCTGAGAAATTCCTAGATCTAATCATCAGAAAAAAAATTCTTGAGGCTCTCTTAGAACTTCACATAATTTCATACAATGTTCCCTCCTCTTTTCCAAGTACCTGTACTAAAACTTTGTCTTCCTGAACTAGTTTATTTCTGTTCGGTATAGGAAATTCTTCTGTGCTTATTACAACCAGACTTGCTTGCAACCCTTTCCTCTTTGTCTGGCATCTCCTATTTCCCTTCTTTCTCAAAAGTAAAATGACCATATCAGTCCATTCATCTTCAAGCCAATCTGGTCTTTAACAATCAATTTGTAATAAACACTGAATTCTATGCAGCTTTACTCATCTTCATTTCTACTCTATAATAAACAGCCAACTATCATCAGTTTTAACATAGTAGAGAGTGCCACCTACTGAATTTCTGAAAAACTTCCACAGCTATAATTGAGTGAATAGCTCTTACTTGTTACACTATATTCCTCTACTGAATTTTAAAGCAACTGAGTTTCACTCTGTAGTCCTGGACCAACCATGCAAACTGGAATAAATCAGGTCACGTGGTATTATATTTTAAAAATTATTCCACAATAAAAGGATGTTTGAAGCTGTTTTCAAAAATTTAAGTATGCACCCAAATATGTCATCCTATGTTTATCACCAAGTCAACAGATAAGGTACACAGGCTGTTTTACAAATGTGGAAACTGTGGCAGAATGCTTAATCGACGTGCCTCAGGAAGAGAAAGCTTCTTAGTGACAATGCTGGAGTTAGAAGCCAGGGTTTCTATCATCTAGTCTAGGCTCATTTCTTGGACACTAGAAATGACCAGTGACTCTGACCCCATGACTGATGCATCTGCTGGTGCTCATGCCATCCAATGCATCATGCCAGCTGGAACACTGAGGGGAAGGATCTGGAGGCAATCAGATCACCTGGCAGGCCTTTGAATCAAGGAAAGACTGCAGCTACACAATTTTTTTCCTTATAAAGAAATCAAATAGGATTTTGTTGACACTTATGAATAAGAATTTATGCATACTATAAGTGCTTCAAGATCATAAACAAAGCAAAAACTGTAATTATTTAAGTACATCTCAATAATCTATAATTGATATCAGGATTGCTTAGTCTATTTATGTCAGCTTTTAACTTATGCTGAATCTATGTATTACATTGCACTATATGAAACTGACATTTTTGTAGGTCAAAGAACATCCAGCTTTATATGATTGGTTCAATTTAATAATCCATATCAAAAGGTTTCCTGGGACATTATACCTTGAAGCTTTAAGGTTTCAATAGCCTCAATAAGTGATGAAGTCTTTGATGTTTCTTTTCCCCTACAGGCAGTACTACTGTACTAGCCGTTAAATGCCCAAGCCCATTCCCCATCCAGTAAGCAAAGCTTATTGCCTGGCACAGAAGGGGGCCCTGAGGTCAGTGTGGAATCAACTGTTAAGGATTGTGAATATCATCCCTGACTACCTTTACCTCTCTTAGGAAGAACTTTTTAACTACTGTGAATAGTCTCTCAAAGCCAGAAGTAATCATAATTTTTGGTACCCACTGTTCTCCTACTGAAACATTCTTTAAGTGAAGGGACCTTTCAAAACGTCTGCTACACTTGTATTCTCAGTGTTAACCAGTACTGTACTCAAGGCTGGCTTCAGGGGCATGCACCCCTGCCCTGCTCTCAGATGGGCTCCAGGCTTGGTTTAATGTTCGGCAATTGCCATCTTGAATTCTTAATAATTTTATCTTTGAGCTTGTGTGCTGTAAGTGAAGTCTAATGGGACAATGAAACATACACTGGAGCTCAAAAAACAATACCCCAAAATATGGTGTGTTGGCATGCTGAATACTTTGAACTGAAGAAAAGGGGCTCAGAAACAAGATCTTTCTGGGCTGGCCTGGTGGTGCACTGCTACAGTGCGCCACTTGGGAGCGCGGCGGCGCTCCCACCGAGGGTTCGGATCCCACATACAGACCGGTTCCCGCTCACTGGTTGAGCGAGGTGCGGGCGCAGCGCCGAGGGTTGCGATCCCGTTGCCAGTCCTGGTCCGGTACGGGCGCGACACTGAGGGTTGCGATCCATTGCCGGACATGAAAAAAGACAAAAAAAGGAAAAAAAAAAAAAAGAAACAAGATCTTTCTGACCTTCTCCTGCCCTTCTTTCTCCTGCTCTCCTTTCTCCCCCAAGACAAGCCACAGAAACTAGAACCCCTCTCCCCTAAAGCTAGCCACAAAACCTAGAAATATTACTCTAACCTCCCTTTGCCTTTCTGTGTGAGAGTTGGCAATAAATTCTCTGATCTACCTTGTCTCATAGTAGGTCATAAGGCCCTCATTCCAGAATAGGTCCTGCCCTATACCCAGGAGGAAGAAATGCTGCACAGAAAGGCCAAGGAGAATCTGAACAAACAGGACTTGCTGGGTTTTCCCCCAATCCATTACCGTTAGATCATACCCTATTGTCCAATCACGTTTCTACATGGCTGTCCATTCTGCATCAAACCTAAACAACGTAACAATAGACAGTTTTCTTTGGTTCTTCATTTCTAAAGCATCTTATGTCATGCAAAATTTTAAGTAAATTTCTTATGCTTTTCTCTTGTTAACCTGTGTTTTGTTATACGAGTTCTGGCCATGACCCCTATGATGGGTGAGAAAAGGTATCACACCCTTTCCACCCCTACACATGCACAAGAGCAGTGAAGACACCAGGCAGCAGTTTGTTCATGGGTGGGCTCAGGCCCGAGGGCATGCAACCTAGACACTGAGCAACTGGCCTGGTGGTCAGGCACACTCAACATGACTGGGGCAGGCCAGGATGCCATAAGGCCCCAAGGTGGCAAGACTGGGACTTGGACCCAGATTGACAGCGGCAACAGCAGATGCAGCAGTGTTCATGGGAGAGTCAGGAGAAGAGTGATGAGGAACTCCTGCAGCTCCAGGAACCATGGTGGGAGGCCAGCTTGCCCATCCATCACTGGAGCCAGTCCCTATGGAGTCTGCACAAATATTTAACTCTCTGACCTGAACTCCAGGATGGTAAATTATGACAAAGTAAAAGCCTATACATGAACACTGCAATAAAGCATAACAGGCAGTTATTAGAATTCTGCAAAGAGTTTATAATCTCTGGTTTTGAAAACTGCTGCAACTTTGCAAAGCAAATATTCACAGGCATAGAAGTAGAAATTAAATGTAAAGACTGTTGTTCTGGACCCCCCCTCCCCCCCAAAAAAAACCCAAAAAACATTGTTTTCATATGAAGCTTCAGATGAACAAATTATTAATGTAAGACATTTAAAAATTAATTTTTCCTCATAATTGAAGACACAGTGACAGAGTGCATAAATAGGAATTGTGAATTATATATAACTCAGAGGACATTTTCAGTTTCTTGTAAGATCTCTGTAAGTTACAGGAAATGTCAGAGGAAATATTAACATAACCTAATATAAATTAACATCTAAGATTAAATTCAGATTTACACACAATGGATTTGTGTGAAAAATTAAAGCTCTTTAGAAAAATTGTTCCACAAGAACCACCTGACCTAGATGTACTAAAATTTATATTTTGAAAGTTTATTATAAATTTATCCCAATGTTGTAAGAGCCTATAAAGCTATGTAGTATTGTATAAGCAGGAAGATCCTTCTCCAAGTAAAAAATTATCAAAAATTATTTGCTACCTTGCACTTGCTGCGAGCAACTAATATCACTTTCAATTGTAAAATCTGAAAGTCAAGTTGCTAAAGTATAAATTTTGATGACCTCACAAATGAATTTGCAGAAAAGCGAGCCAGAAAAATCTTATGACTCAAGATATCATACTATTATTATTACTGTATTATATAAAATTATGACACCAAAAATATTACTTTTGGAATTTGTAAGTTTATGTTGTTATCCATATATCACCATTGTATTTTGCAGGTAAAATGTTTTTAAAGAAAAACTTTATTTTTTGGTACCTTTAATAGCACCTTTCTTGCTTTTGGAGCAAGAGGCCCCCCATTTTCACTTTGCACTGGTCCCACAAATTATGTAGCCAGCCCTGACTGCACTCATAGGCTTTCTGAACATATGATACTTATTTTGGGTGTAAGTTCATTAGAGATTCACTAGTTCCCACTGCCAATTCAAATTAGAATTCTGAAGAATTCTGGAGGAATGGATTAGAGAATGTTATTCAACTTTGCATTTAAACCTGAAGGGACAAAAAACCATTTTTGGTAAAGAGAAGATATCTGAAGGGGAAGGTTTCCCAAACCCATCTCTTCCAATCACAGAAACTGTCATAATGACAGTGAGGATGGTGGTGACACCTTTTCCTGACAGTTGCGGCACTGGTAATGATAACTATACCGATAATAACAGTAGGTAAGTCAGACTAGCCAATATTTTATCATATCCCGTTGTCCTGGCTTTACCCTTGACTTGCTTTATCCCATGTAACCCTCCCAACAATACTCTGAAGTTGGTACTGGTAACTATTATCATATTGCAGATGAGGAAACAACACTTAAAATCCAGGTTAACTTGTTCTGTCATGTATCTAGTGAGTGGCAGAGCTAGGACTTGTTCACACCAGATTCCAAGCTCTTAATTATTCTACTTAAAGTCCACAGACCAAAAAGCAGCTCCTTTAAATGCTCTCATGAGACAGAAATGATAAATTTTTGTGATGACAAATATGCTAATTACCCTGATTTGATCACACATTGTATACTTGTATTGAAATACAACTCTGTACCTCATAAACATGTACTATTGATATTTGCCAATTAAAAATTTCTTTTTAATGAATTAAAGGGGGAAAAAGCTCCTCAGAGAGTGATGCAGCTATGATTTTTTTTCTGTCTAGTTCTTAGGATTGTGAGAGGAACAGGAGAAAACAGTCTGACACGCTACATGCACGCCCCAACCCCTTGTTTCTCAGCTTATCTTTTCAGTACCATCGCTTCCATGAAGGGATCCCCCTGTCTAGTTCTTAGGATTGTGAGAGGAACAGGAGAAAACAGTCTGACACGCTACATGCATGCCCCAACCCCTTGTTTCTCAGCTTATCTTTTCAGTACCATCGCTTCCATGAAGGGATCCCCAATTCCTCCCATGACCACCACTGCATTTTCTCCCTCCTCTGAGTCCCAAAGCACTTTATGCCTTCTGGTGGCATTTATCACGTAACATCTTCGTACCAATATTCATGTGCCTATCATCCTCCCTACTAGTCCGCAAATTACTCAAGTGCAGACGTGTAGGTGAACCATTTTTATATCTTTGCAGACCCCTACATATGATGATTACTAGTAAATTTACTAAAGCAATTAATTGACATGTGAATTTTTATAGGTACATGTAAAAATTCCTTTTTAAATTTTTGGGTTGTAGGAAGATGATGCTGAAAGCTACTGAATGTACATCTGATGTACATTCTGCACACAACTAAACTTTAGATCCAAAAACTAACTGAAACGAAGACAGAAAATACCTAGATGCCATCTTTATTAATAATCATACTCACGTCTGTTTAGTTTAAGAATTTAAGTTTTACAAAGAATATGTCACATACCCTTGATTTCATACATTTTCAAATACCACATTGGTATATCACTGTAGCCAAGGAAGAGATTTATCTCACCCTTCATTACTTATAAGAGCTACATCTGGAAGGGATCCAATTTGAACAGAGAGCACACCAAATCTAGCTCATATACGGCACAACTACCCAGGTATTTCCCAATGTCTTCCAAACCAGAAGAGTTTTTATTTTTATTTTTTTTATTTTAAGGTTTTATTTGTTCTTTCCATAGAACTTCTAACTTGTAAACTTTCAGGATAAGCTAAAGCTAATCAGAAAGTTACAGCTCTCTTTTTCCATTGACACACACAAGGATGGTTGCTCTGCCAGTTTCATCAAGCTGCCTACACTAGTATCTTTCTCAGCAAGCGGAAACTTGCAACTCACCTTCTTGGAATGATGCCATTTTCCAAACTTGTTGTCTGACTTCGAAGCCAGCGGCGCTGGTAACTGCTGGAAGAGGATGTAGAGGAGCTTGGAGATGGAAAAGGTGTAATCAAAAGGCTGCTTAATGAGGCTGTAGGGAAGTAAATTTGAAATTTGAAAGCTGAGGTAAATCAATCCTTTTGTAGCTTCATAACGTGCATTGAATGTACACTTAAAATTGGTTAAGATGATACATTTTATTATACGTGTTTTAGCACAATAAAAAATATACAATTGAACTGTACACTTAAAATTGGTTAAGATGATACATTTTATTATACGTGTTTTAGCACAATAAAAAATATACAATTGAACTGTACACTTAAAATTGGTTAAGATGATACATTTTATTATACGTGTTTTAGCACAATAAAAAATATACAATTGAACTGTACACTTAAAATTGGTTAAGATGGTAAATTTTGTTATACATGTTTTAGCACAGTAAAAAATATATATGCCAAATAACCTAAATATTCAGGTTCTACCAGTCGTATCCAGCAGAGGGAGACTATAATTTCTCTCTTACTGAGATTCTGTACAAGAAATAAAACATCCTTTAAAAAGGAAAACAAATTAAAGCAAATAAGGGTAACAGACATAGTAGGTGCATAAATAATCAGGCCCACATTACAAATACAGAATAATTATTACTCAATCAGAGGACAGACTGCAGATTTCTGATAAAATGTTCTCTAGAACATAACTGCTTAGATTGCTACCTGGTAACTAATGCCATATACAATGCTTACTTATACATATTTCCTCCCCATGACTATTACTTCATTCTATATTTTGAGGTAAAATCTAGGCAAATAAGCGTTTCTCCCTCCCTTCCCCAATCTCCAAATAAACTTGTCAGTACTTACATTCCTTCCCTCCATCCCCCCTGCCACTCCCTTGTCTGTGAAAGAGCAACCTCCAGTCTTAAACATACTTTCTGCTTGGATTACTCATTTGCCTCTGAGCCTTTCTCTGCCTCCTCCCGTTACATAACATTAGATGCCTACACTTTGGCTCACAGGAAGTACGAACTGACAGTGCCAGCCCAGACTTTTCTAACAGACAGGGAGGGACTGGTCCTTCTCAGGATAGGCAAAGGGTTTCTTTCAAATTACAGCTGCTTGATGGACATCTACTGGTTTGGAAGAATGGAAGGAGAAGAGAGACTTCTGCTTTTACTTCTCTGAGGTAAGGAATTAGACACTGAAATGCCACTTGGTCCAGTAGAAAAGGAAATGGAGTGCTATAGATGGCTGGTCAACATTTTCACAAGCAAATCATAGGGGAAAGGAAATTGATTTTAGTAAACATGGAATACTAGACTCGTGGATATCACTTGATAAGGCAGTTTCTCCACATGAACTGCTATGTTTTTGCTTATACTTTTGCAAGCAGATCTAAATAACCTGACTCCCCAACATGAGTTCTTAAACACTACAGGACTTACTTGGCTAGCAGTCAATAATTAACAAGCAAATGCTGAAGTGTGCCAGGTGTTGTGCTAGGTGACTGGGATATAGTAGTGAATAAGACAGAATCTGCCCTCATGTAGCTTCAAGTCTATAATATCAATGAAAATAACATCTCGAGCTTCTTTCCATAGCAGAGGCCTATGAGATCCTTTTCTACTAATCTAGTCAATATTCACAGAAAATTTGTTTAGTAGGTCTTAATCATCTTTGTATCCCTTGTATCCAGGACAATACCCTGAACACAGCAGGCAATTAGTAAATGTTTACTGAATGTAGCGCACTTTTTTACTAAGGTATTACCCAGATGTGGCTAGCTCTAGCAGGCTCCTCTGTTCTGACCTGGTTCCAGTCTTGAGGCTGGACTGAAATCTCCAAAACCAAATCCCAGTTTCAAATATCAGTGAGCTGGTAATTTCACTGAGAATTTTGTAGCGAGATAGAAGAGAGCTTTTCCTTAAAGTTACAAAATTACTTAATAAAAAGTCCCAATTAGACATTTCTGCCCTGCCTCCAAGCTCCCAAAGTCACCTACAGAATCCAAAGACCCTCTCCCACATCTTCAGAGTCCCCTGTCTCTCTCCTTGTTTAATACTGAACAAATCAACTTCTACCTGACAGGTGGAAGACAGGGTTTAAGGGTGATACTTGGATTATTAATATTTATTTTTCCTATCACAGAAATAAGATAGATGATGCTGAGGTCCAATTTATTCTGGAAATTATCTGTATTGCATAACTCAGTTTAGCAAACTGAGTAAGGGCCCAGGCTCCAGGTTCAAATCCTAGTTCTGCCACTTAGTAGCTATGACACTTGGGCAGTTTTACTTAACCCATCAGTTTTCTCATCTGCAAAATAGGAACAATAAAGTACTACATACCTCAGTATTTTTCATGAGAGCTGCAACTGCCAGTGGATTTTGAATTGTTTAGTAGATAAGAACCAATATTTTTTAAAAATAGAAAATAGTAGAGTATATTGCATTACTAATCCATAAAACTTTTGTTCATTATATATAAAGCTGTTACTGGATCATGATGGAAAATGTACTAGCATGGGTTGCAGACAAATGAAAAGTCTGAATAACACTGACCTATTTCATAAGGTCCCTGTGAAGATTAAACAAATCAGCACATGTAAAACACACAAGAGCCCCACACAATAAATTTGTTCCCTCAGATAATTTCTTGGAAAAGGTGGGCCAAGTAAGACATTTTGGAGCACTAAAAGATTATTAGTTCTGAATAGTTAATTATAAAAAGAACCTTCTAGGGTTTGTAATATAGACATGTAAAGGGAAGGTAAAAAAATAAAATAGAATATTCTTTTTTTTTTCCTGCTGAAAGACAATTTTTATGGCATGGCATACGAATGAGACATTTTAAGCTAAAGTGTTGGCTTAGTGCTATCCAGCATTTCCTTATCAAAAACATTATTTAAGATTTCTTGGTAAAAGTACTGTGGCATAACATTGTCAATCATGTACTCTGGGAAACAATACAGTACTACTTTCAAATCCAAGAGCAGGACTAATCTTGGCCTACAAACCATTGCCATTTTCATGAGAAAAGGGTGGATTCAGATAACTGTTCCATCACCACGTAGTGCATTTGAATGTTGCTCGGCTCATGGTCTGAAAGGCAGTGTGGACTGATGCAATGTTAGAGCTGGTGTTCATTTAATCCACCTTGGGAGCTTGCTTAAAAATGGAGCTGCATAGGCTCTCCCTCAGTTGATTCACGACCTTTGTAGTAGTGCCTGCCATCTCCATGATACTGAAAAGAGCTTTTGCATGAGAGTTCAGTGAAGGTAGGTTCCAGCCCCAGCTGTGCAATTAGCTCTATGAACTGGATAAAGAAATTCCCCAACTGATGTCTCAGTTATAAAATGTAAGACTTTTAATTAAATTATTCACAGACTCAGTTTCAGATTTAAAAGTGCTATGTCTAACACTCCTTAATATTTTTACTATCACTTTTCTTCTTCCAATACTTTTATAATTAGAAAAAAGTTAATACAAATAGATGGCAAAGACTTTTGCAGTTTTATGTATTAATAAGAAAATTAAAATTATCCCAAATCCCATCACCAGACTGTTGTTCATATTTTAAACCTGGTTAACTCCCAATTTTAAAAAACTGTGCTTTCATCCCCTCCCTCCTTACTAAGGAGGACTCTTTAACTAGCATCCATTTATTCCTGCAGAGATTAAAAATTAGAAAAAAGAATAAGTCTAAAGATTTTAAAATGCTGATTGCTGCTGTTCTTGGCCTTTGCTACACAAGTTCAAGATAAAAGTTTAACTTTCTCTGAAAAAAATTTTCCTATTTTGAGAGTTTAGTAGAAACACTATACTAATGATCTGACTACAGAATTTGAATAAATCGTGCCCTGAAACTCTTAAATCAAATCCATTCACTCAACAAATATTTACTGAGCACCTGTTAAGTAAGAGCCTGGCACCATGCAAGGGACGGAAACTTAAAGGATATAAACAGAGTCTCTGCTCTTAAGAAGCTTACACTCATGGAATAAGTAACTACTATAAAAATAAGTTACTATGTTTTTTTTAAGTAACTAAGGCAAAAGTTTACAAGGGTAGTAGAAGTAAATAATCAGTGGTCAGAGAACACCGCTATGAATGTGGGACATCTCAACTGAGACTTAAATGCCATCAAGAGCCAGCCATGGAAAGATATTCCATGTGAAAAGAACTGAATAATAACAATAATTATTCCCCCTAAATCTATGGGTATTTCTACTTATATAAACATGAATGAACATATTTTCTGCTCTTATTCAAATATTCATTGAGCATCTACCACATGCCAGGCACTGCACAAGCTGCTGGGAATAGAGCAGTAAACATGACAGAGTGTATGGGTCTCTGAACTCATGGAGCTCATAGTGTGAACTATAAGAAGAAACGAAACTCTCCAAGAAATGAACAAGATAACCACAGAATGTGGTAAGTCACAAGGAGCAACTCTGACACTGGGAAAAGGAAATGCAAATGTTAAGAGCTCAGAAGCAGCTACAATTTCTAGAATTTTTAAGTCGGCTTATTTATTCTGCTGAAAAATGTGATCATAATACCAAGCAAGTGGCACCTTCAGGACTTCATGCAGGAACAGGGCTGTAACAAATGTTCAGGGCAGGTCCAAACTCATGTCTAAAGTAACAGGTTGAGGCCCTGCCAAACGTATCTCACTTGTAAGGAGACATCTGAAGGAAGGATGTTGCAGATAATGCCTACTCTTCTCTCATGCAGCTATCTAAATATATTTATTTGTAAACACATCCATAAAAATAAAACATCTTAATGTGATCAGGCCCCTTATTTATTTTCCAAGCCCATCTTGTACATTCTCCCCTCACTACATTCCAGCCTTCCTTTTATTCTTTATACATGTTGAGGCTCCAAAAATGATACTCCAAAGAATGGTGCTTTCACATGCTGAGAACTAAAGGAGATTAGAAGGCCTCAGAAGCAAAGTTTCTCTCTGACCTACTGGCCTCCTGTCTCCGGCCCCCTTTCTCTCACCTAAAGCTGGTCATATAAAACAGAATTTCTCTTCCCCAAGGCAGGTCATAGAAACTCAAACTCCTCTTTCCCACCAAAAAAGCCAGAAAACTTAGAAATATTATTCTAACCTTC